CTTTGGGGGGTTATAAAATGTTTTAAAATTAATTGAGTTAATGGTTGCCTAACTTTGTGAATATACTAAAAATCAAAAATTGTGCATTAAATTGCACAGATGTATGCTACGTGAATTTTAACTCATTAAAGCAGTTTGAAAATATTAATTAATTAAAGAAAAGTTGAATTCAACAGCAGAAAATAGAACTTTGTAGAGGTAATTGCACATCAAAGTGATTCCTGGAGGCAGGCGGTGTTGGCTTTAGATGTGTGGAGAGGAGTTCAGCCTGAGTGCCCTACACTTCTGTTGAATTCTGACTCTGCCTTGGAGTAACCGAATAACCCTGAGCAGCCTCTCCACCTTTCTGTTGCAGCTCTATAACATGAGGACAATAAAACTCGGCCTACAAGGCAATTGTGAGAATTGGGAATTATATATTTAAAGTGCCTGGCACACTGTAGATATTCAATACCCGTAGCGTGTATTATTAGCTATTTTTACAATTGGGCTGTGTTTCAAAAGATCATTTGTAAGTTCAGTTGCAATGAGAAAAACTGTCTTTTTTTTTAAAGCCTGGGTTTGATTCCTAAGCAAGCACAGAGCAGCCTATTTCTTTAACCAACTCTGTAAGGGACCTTAATACAAATGCCTTTAGATAGATTCTGGGTTCTGGGAGCAGCTACTTTAAGCAATGAGAGCAAGTAGAAAAGAATGAAAACTTTTCCTATAAAGTATATTTTTATACTTTAAAAAAAATATAAAAGTATATTTTTAGAAACTATAAAAGTATATTTTTAGAAACTGAAAATTCCAATACTCTGTATAAAGAAAAAAAAAATCTGTGATTCTATCATTCAATGTCACTCCAGTATTTTCTCTTTCTAGCAATTTTTAACAAAATGCGAACAATGCTACATATACTATTTACCCAGAGTCTTTCACTTATTAGGATATAATGATTTTTAATGACTTGGACATTATGATTTTTAATGACTATATTATATACCATGGTATTAAATATACCATATTTGATTTATCCAATCTACTATTATTGGAAATACTAGTAGTTGTGATATTTTGCTATTATAAATAATAATGTAATGACCTTGTCACCATAAATCTTGGATATAGCTCTGTTACTATTTTAGAATTAATTCTTCAGAATAAAATTCATGAAAAATGATCTATGGCACTTTTAGAGTTTTGAAACTTAGTGGTATATTGCCTTCCAGAAAGAATGTACAAACTTATGCTATCACCAGAAATGTATAAAATTTCCTGCTAATGTCCACTAATATTGAGAATAACTTGTTTTTATTCTTTGCCAGTCTGGGAGATAGGAGATGACAGATATTATTTGACATCAATTTAAAGTTCAGAAGTTTTATGGTTGTCATCATCCAACAGAATCCAAGTCCCACCTTTTATGCCTCCTAAATCTTGTAAGTGCTTAGCACTACAAAGTAGCCCTAAATAGCCTGTTCTTCTATCCCTCAGGGGCTTTGCCCCATCAAGATGTTTTGGACTTCACAGTATTGTTTTCCTGTTCTCTACATTGAAAACTTGTTTTTTTTTTGTTTTTGTTTTTGTTTTTTAGAGTTACTTATCTGAGGGAAGTTTTGGGAGAAAAGCAAACTGATAAAATTGATTTTCCCTATTTTTTGAATATTTAAAAGCACTTAAAACTGTATCTTCAAAAGAATGTTCTTGAAAACTAAACCTTTAAGAACCTCTAGGGGTATTATTTTGGATGGATTAGCGGAATTGAGTAGAAAGCAGGTTTTCAGAGGAAATATACCACTTTCTTTGCCTTGGGATTTATTCCCAGGTCACCTCTTCTAAACTAGTCTTATTTCTCCTAGCCTCTTTCCTTCTTCTGAAACCTCTAATGGAATAGTTCCCGGCCCAGACGCACAATTTAATCTCTAGGGACGCTTGAAACGCCCTAGGCCTGGGATTAGCCCAGCAATCTGCTTTAATTATCCTGATGTCGGGCCCAGGCCTGTCTTTTCAAAAGCTCCCAGGTGATCCCTCTATGTGGTCAATATCAAGAACTACTGTTAAGTAATTCTCCCCTAAAGAGCGAAAATTCACACAGGCTCTCCTGCGGGGATTAGGCACAATGCAGGAAAAGAGCAAAAGATATCAAATCAGATGGAAAAGCAGATCAAAAAGAAAAAACAGACAACAAGGGAACCCCTCATTATTGATGATTTTAAGGACAGAAATATGGATAGTGATGTGAGAGGAGAAGAGACTCATTCACAAGACTAGCTAATGCTCTGGCCCTGCCCACTCATGCTGAGAACTCTTCTCTCAGGCCATTTTCATCTGTAAAATAACTAGAGAGCGCATATCTAATTAGATAGGATACACCCTGTGGCCTCTGTGTGACTTTCTTCTCTGTGGTACCTGATATCCACCTTAAGGACTATTTACACCCTATATGTTGAATTCTAGTGACTTCTAGCCCAGTCTATAGTCAGTCTTCAAATGTAGTCAGTGTCATATGTTATGCAGATGTATTTAATGTACTATGCTAAAGAAAGTAAAAGAAGTGAAGACCTGCAGCTGGCTATATTCTCCAATTGTTCTTGAAATGTCCATCACTAGGAAACACCTGACAGAGCCTCTATCTTATTAGAATCCCTGTGGTAAAAACCCAGACTCTGGCCTTTGGGAGAAGATAGGGCAGCCACTCTGAGCAGCTTCCTTTCCGGGTTCTCTCCTCCACCCCAAGCAGATGTCCAGGGATACAGGGGAGACTGACTGAAAGGGAGCTAGCTGCAAATGCAAGGGGCACCCTTCCGTCTGGGTTGTTCTGAGCAGATAGGGCATTGCTGCCCAGTGGCATGCATCTGGGCCACATCCTGATGCTCTGCTCCACCTGGGCAGTGCCTCCAGCCTTCCCTGCTCAGGGGCACATGAACTTCTGAGGAGCCCTGCAAACATCTGCTTCGATTTCGAATGCATTCTTCCCAGCTGTTTTCTCAGAAACTGTTCCAGGAGGCTCTAACAAGTCTGATCTCTTTTACCTCTAGAAATAGCTCTTAATACATTACTTACTGTCCATTTTCACTGTATTCATTGGTCTGAGACCCTTATCATTCTGTCTACTGGAGTTGTACAAGCAGTAGGCCCCACTGGTTCTGCTTTCAGCCTTGTCCCCTCCCAGCTCCCAACATCTGCCTCTGCCACCAGTCTGAATATGTTCCTCCAGCTGGGTCATTCCCATGCTAAAGTCACCTCAAAGACTTCCATGTTCTAAAGCACTGATATTCATTCCTGGCTGAACAGGGAGCTTTCTGAAAATGCAAATGCCTAGAGCCCCATCCCCAGAGATTCTGATACAGTTGACCTGGGTAAAGTGCCCTCCAGAATCATGTGTCAAAGGTCATCATTGATATCTCTTCCTTAGTCAGCCTTTTCCCCCGGGTAAGTGGATCCTCTTCTCACCTACCTTCCTAGTCTCTCCTGTTTCTCACTGCAAACCTTTGCTTCTTTGTACAGGTTCTCTATCTCCTGGAACTCTTGTTCTTGGAGTTAAAAACTCTTGCTCATTTTTCAAAACTTTCCTAAACTGTCACCATTTCTTCTGTGAAGCTTTTCAGGATCCTCATATGGAATGAATTAGGCCTTCTGTCTTTTCTACCCTCCACATTTACTGTTCCTCCCAGAATTACAAGTGTTGTTGTTTGCCTGCTTCACTGTCTATCCCACTAGCCTGAAATACACAAAGAACAGAATTTTAATCCACTTTACATATGTCTCTTCCACTTAACTATAGCCTACCCCAGGATAGAGACCTCGTGATATTAATGCCCATACACCCTAGTGTGGGTACCATCTTTAGTTACTGTTCTGTCCATTTGTTTTAGCAAATATTGTCTACTTATGATGTGACATGAACTGTTCTACATACTCTGCTGTGTTAGCTGGTGTAATTCTTCCAATAGCCTGTAAGTATAATCATTGTCCCCATTTTGCATGTGAGGAAACTGAGGCAATAAAAAGGAAGACAACTGAACACATAGCAGAATAGAATATATGTCTATTGAGTACAAAAATGTATGGCTCTCTGCTATTGTCACAGACAAATCTTTGTGATTGGACTGGTTAATAGGCACTAAAAGAGCCTTCACAAATGATAAACTTTTGAAGGAAATAGTTTATACCCATGTGACCAATTCCCAATATAGATTTCTCAATAAGGTAGGCCAGCAGTATAGTGTGCAACAAAGACATCTGGGGCAAAAAAGGAGAGGGGAATTAACTTTTAATAAGCACCCACTATGCCCCCACCTGCCCTAGGCACTTCCCTGCCTAATCTGAACTGATCCCATGAACTATGATACAGACTAGAAATTCTGATAATACAGGTGATAAAACCAGAGATCAGTGAAGGCAGGTCATTCAGCCAGTGTCACATAAAAAGTTACGGAAAAGGTTGAAATTGAACAAATCTGTTATCTCTCTCCAACAGGAGACTGCCTCCGCTGGCATGACTGGACTCTAGCTTTCCTCTTCTACTTTTGCTTTCAAAAATAGTTAATTTTTTTTGCTAAAATAAAGATATAAGCCAGTAGTGGAAAAATGTGAGAAAACTAAAATTGCCTGTAATCTCACAACCCAGAGATAAACCACCAGGAACATTCTGAGGGGTTTTTCTTATCAGCCTTTTACTCTGCATTTATATTGCAACAATAGGGTAATTAATATGTTACCTACCTTGGGTTGCAGCAGACATCCAAATCTGTGTTTTGCCCTTTTGTTTTTAAATCAAACATCTAAAGTTGTTCAGCCACTTTAAAAACAAGAAAAAAAATAGAAGTAAATGGTAAAAGAGAAAGAAAAATGACTTTTATGAAGCATCTGGATGTTTGTTTTAAGCAAAGTGATGAGCAGGGACCATTCTGAGAATACACAAGGACCACAGTAGGCAAGGAAAATGAGCTCTATTCTCCCCAAACTTCCCCAATCAATCACCCCTATGTCTGCTCTTCCTGTTTCTTTTTCAGGCAGCAACTTGAATGACGGCTTGTGGCATTCAGTCAGCATCAACGCTAGACGGAACCGCATCACTCTCACCCTGGATAATGATGCAGCATCCCCGACTCAGGACACCACCCGGATACAGATTTATTCTGGAAATAGCTACTACTTTGGAGGTAAATTTCCCAACTATTGAGGTTAAAAATAAAGGAGGGAGAAAGAATGCAGTGGACAATTATTTCACTCTGATGATTCTTTCTTTGTCAATTAGACCATTCTGTGAATACACACACACACACACACACACACACACACACAGGCGCCTACCCCCAAGCCCAAAATAATGAGAAGCAAACTCTTTCACAGCTGTGCAGATATAAATTTATCTAGGTCAGTACTGAGGAAAAAAAGAGAACTCAAGCTATAAGAGCTGGTGTTACATAATGTGTCCAAAGGAGATTTTTATAGTCCTGCCAAGCTCTGTGATCACATTCAAAAGGAGAAACTCAGCTGAAAACTTTGAGAAGGTACCAACAGTCAGCAGTGCCGAAAAAGGGAAATATCCAGGTGGGAAGGAACAGCCAACACACTCACCCATCTAGGCCACTTCTCTGCAGCTTCCTGTCTCAATCTCTCAACCTTTTCTTCCCCACATTCCTGGAGGCCATGCCCATGAGTGCAGCAGCTAAAAACAAGGAAGACCTAAAAGGCCCATGAGCTTGTAGCTCCACTTGGTGCAGCCAGTACAGATCCTGTCCTCTCCAATACCGGGCAAACCCTGGGAACCATTCCTAAGATGAAAATATGTCAAACTGGTACAGATGAAAAACAAATGAGTAGGCATCTACTGCATTTTTATAGATGAATATATATTGTATTTAGTTTTTTAAGGTGTTTCTTTCATTAAAATATTAGTATCTAATTTCTTAGTCAGTTGTTTATATTTTAGAAATAATTTCTAAAGAGTAATTAATCTCAATGCTGTCTGACCTTGGGCAAGACATGTATGGCCCCTAAACTTCTGTACTTAGTCCATGGGAAAACAAATCAGAACTGCTAGAAGAGGTCAGTGAGATCAAGGTATGCATGTATAGCACAGGGCTTCCTACCTGGCAGGGAATGAACAAATTGTCTTCAACTTGTCTAAATATAAGCATGGACTGTACCTGGTCTATAGTTTTCAATTCTTTCTCCATATGGAAATGGAAGAGAAGATTTCTGTAAAATTATAAAGTGTAGTTTCTTTAATAGAATTTACAAATCAATTCTCTCAGGGCAGTGACATGTGGTTAAGCTTTGAACTACAAAAGGAACTTTGTACAGATGCAGTATACATATTGGGGTGTCCTTAGATGGAAGTAGTGTGGAACAGTACACTTGTGGTTTGATTTTAGGGTCTCAGGATAGGCATCTGTCCTTCATTCCAAATCTTCTCCATGTGTGCATGGATAACAAATTCTTATAAGGGAATTCTTCCATTCTCTGTAAATGTTTTATGTGTCTTATCTCATTTAATTAATGCAGTAACTTTGTGAGATAGCCCCATTTTACAGTAAGTAAGACTGGCATTTGCTGATGAAAAGAATTGTGAGTAGTAGAATGAGGATTCACCCCAGGATCTGTGTTCTCCACAGCCCTCTAGCAACAGCAAAGTGATGCCAACTAATATAGCATAAAGGCTGTGGAAGGAAGGTCTTAGGGCCCCAAGATACATCTCACAGACTGTCATTTTGCACCATATGCAATGTTTCCAAAAGAGAGAGAAAAGCAATCTTGTATTTATTTTTATGAATGCCTCAAAATCAAAATGCCCTCCCCCACCCTGGTCAAAGAAGTGTCCTTAGAGGTGAGTCTTAAGGACACTGGGCTCCAGAGATGAAGATTTATCTGTGATTGGAGCAATGCTTAAACAAATGCCCCACACATAGATTGTAAACTTAAGGAAGGTTAAAAATGAGTTTGAGTAATAATAGCCAACTTACATAAATTTTCTCTACAGCTTCAATTAGAAGCCGTAACATTTCTCTTCATTTTATAATGTGTGTGCCTGTGAGCTGTTAACCAGCTGCCGGGCTTCAGCCCAGCAATGACTATCTATTAGAAAAGGCTGAAATAATTCCCAATTATTTATAGGTTATTGCCATGTATTCAAGCTTGCATTCCCATATGGTCTGTACCTATTAAAACAATTGAGATGAAGTTTATAGAGAGCCCAAGCTCTCATACCTATGTTGCTCAATGTCTGCCTCAATGAGAAGTAGATATAACCTGGTTATAAGCTATGCTAAATACATATGGTGCATTATTTTTAGAAGAACACCCTTTAAAAAGGTATGGTATTACCTTTCCATGTGTGCTATTTCAACCTCATAACTATGTGCATTTAAACTCTTAGTTCCTTTAGCATCTGGACTTGGTTTGCACATTGCATTAAAATTCCAGTTACGTTTCTACACGTACCTTTGTCGGGAACTAAGCCTGTTAATGCTAACAATTAACCAGATAATTACTCTGCTGTCATCCTTACCCAAAGCCTAATTTCCTTTGAAAGTGTAATTCAAAATTGAATTGTGCATTTAAAAGTGTGTTTCAAGACAGAACTGACATTTCCAAGCAGTTATAACATGTTGCTTCCTTGGGAAGAGTGAAGCGTACCATGCGGAAGAATGGCACATAGCTTACTGAGAGGAAAAATGAAGTAAGAACAAGATACATGTAATAGCATTTGCATACCCTTTAACACTTTTGTTTTATGTTTTATACAGTGATTGAGTACGCCTATTTTGTACCCATTCTGTCCACTCTCTGAAAATGCTAGAATTTACAACAAAAATATGTGCACCACTCTGAATGAAAAAGCACCGCAGTAATTAGACCTCAAGGTCTTCCATCGATAGGTTGCCAAAGAAATGACTGATCATTTCAGAATTCTTCTTCATTTTTTTCTCTATCCCACAGGGTGCCCTGACAATCTCACCGCTTCCCAATGCTTAAATCCCATTAAGGCTTTCCAAGGCTGCATGAGGCTCATCTTTATTGATAACCAGCCCAAGGACCTCATTTCAGTTCAGCAAGGTTCCCTGGGGAATTTTAGTGATTTACACATTGATCTGTGTAGCATCAAAGACAGGTAATTATTGTCTCTTCTCGTCTGTTCTCCCACCCCCTTTCCAATCTCACTGTTCTGAATATGAGTTTCTTTAAGCAAAATTCAAATCCACTGACATTAGCCACATTAGACATAATTGAGTTGTCTAATGGAAAATATTTCTGAAAGGATTTCAGACCCAGAGAAAAATGGTTTAAATTAGTGGAGTCTCTCTTCACGTTGACTTGCAGGAAATGGGATATGCAAATTAAATCAAACTATAAATTTGTGAAAGGATTAAAATTTTGTGCATAAACACCATTTGATTACTTTGAACTTAAGAATAAAGCAAAAAAGAGAGAAATCACTTTTCTCTCCAACCCTTTCCTTCTTCACTGCAGTGGTATTCTCTCTAACTCAGGGGATGAGCATCAGCTTTGCAGGGAACCCTATACCAGAAGTTTGGGCAGTACCCAATGGTGCACAGAGACTCGAGATGACTAACTTTTCCTGTCACTACCCATGACCCATTTTTTTTTTTTTTTTGGCCCGGAAGAGACCAGATCCTGAACAGAGAGAATCAGCACTTTCTGCAACCTGCAAATCTAGCTAAAGCTCCATTTCTCTCTGTTTCTCTTGTGGTCTGGCTCCTCATTGTAAGTATCTAGATTCAAAGACACACTGCAGAAAATTAAAGAATTTTCAGCAAGGTTCTCCTTGTTCCCCATGTTTCTTCTCTGGTACTTACCTCCTTCATTTCTCTGGTTCTACTCATCTTGGCTAAAATGTCATTTATTAATCGAGTGAATAATATGTGTTAAGTGCTAGCCTATGTGTTGGTGAAATAGAGTCTTTACTCAAGTTTCGACAGAGAATAAATTAACTATTACAATGAAGTGCAAACTCCAAAAAGTCCACATTTATTTGTAGGACATATGGCAGCAGCAACTTAGGCTGGCCTAGAGAAAAAGTTTTTCAGAAAGTGGTGCTGAGCAAATTTTACAGGACAAAGAGACCTGACTGAGGGATGGAAGGTGTAGGTTTAGGATGAGTTGACAGAATGCAGCATGTGAAATGACATAGAAACTGGAGTCATCATGTTTGGACATCAATTTTTATTTTAAAATCGGTAGTATTTGGATACATTTTATAGTTGATGGTAATAGTTTAGTTGGCAACATTTATTTGGCTTAGTGGCATTTAAAATAATGGTATGTCTTATAATGATTAGTGTATTAGATCTAATAAAATATTGATCAATGGTCATAGTAGGTTACTGTGGTAGAGCACATGACATGAATATGGTTAGAGATGTGGACCAGTATTAATCATGAAGAACTTTGTGTGTCTGCAGACTTTGTCTTCATGCTCTAGGCAAGAATCAGAAAGGAAGGCAGTTAGATTCACCTAGTAGAAAAAATACACAGAAAATGCAAGAAAGATTGATTAAAGAGAACCAACTCAAAACTGAAGGTCACTGCCCTGGTCAAGGAGAACAATGAGAAATAGTGGGTTTCTCTACTGAGCGGCACAGAAATCAGCTATGCAGATCATTGTCTCCTCTAATACTTGGAATGACTGATGTAATTTGGAACTTTATGAGCATGTTTCTCTGTTAATTCCACTACATCATCAACAAATCACACAGACTTTCTGGCTCTTCTACTTTATCTATTTTTCTATTTGAAAAGCTTAACATGTGGGTAATAAAACATGTGCTTCATTAGAATGTTCTAGTTTAGAGACCTCAGAATAAAATATGCTACATGGAGTGGTTGCCATCTCTATAGTCTTTATTAATGATGAGGAGTAAGTATCTAACTCGTTCAGCCAGCACAGCCTTTGCAAAGTGTGGATCAATAGAGGGAACATTTATCAATAAGGATGGCCTACCATACCTTAATTTCTAATCAAGGAAGCTCTCATTTTCGATTACATGAAAGTCATTGCTATCTACACTGCATCATTACTTTTGTGTAATTGTACTCTGTATAATTGTATTACATACAATTGTGTTTTGGTTAATTATATAATTATAAGGGATTGTGCTTAGTTTGTGGGTAAATGGTGTGTTTTTTCTTGATTTACCAGACAGTGTCTCTAATAGAAGAGAAAACTGTGATAAAAGACATTGTTTAATTAATTATTTCTCGAACTCTCTAGTTTCCACGGGGAGAAGAGAAACCCAGATCTCCCTCTGAAACTCCTCCAACCCCCACCATAACCAAGTGATCTCCAGTAGTTTCTGGGGTGGATCCTCATAGATATACCACACATCAGTCTTCTCCATGACTCCCTTGGGCTTTGATCCCCACTTGTTCAGAGGAGCTGCCCCTCTGGGCAGCCAATCACCAATTAGGATAATGTCTATAAATTTGGCACCAATGTTGGGGTCATTGGATTCTCCTAAAGCATTATTCTCAGGGCCTGGATAGGATGAGAAAGCATGTGATGTACTTAGGGCATAGCATTTATGGTAGTCCTTATTTTCAAATTTATTCATGTACATGAACTTGGGAATAAATGCCTCCTTAATTGTGCAGGTCAGTTCCAGCATGTCTGTATCAGAATCATCAGAGGGGCTTGTTAAAACCCATATTGCTGGACACCAGCCTAGAGTTTCTGATATAACTGTGGTAAGCCATAAAATTTTCATTTTTACCAGATTCTTTGAGAACAACTGCCCTAAAGATTCTAATCCTGGAATCTATGGGATTGCATGGATTCTGTACAAAAGGGGTGCCGATGTGGAGAAGAGAGATGACTTCTTCTCTGGATGGGCCCCCAAGCAGCTGTCATCTTGATCAGGGTCTTACACATCCCTGAGAAGTCCCAGCAGCTCTGTCTCAATGCCCCGCTCCAAAGGAGTGTTAAATTCAGTCCAAGGGACACTGCGGAGTCAACTGAATTCCATCTCCCTCCAGACACCCCTGGTCTTTGTCATTCAGCTCTTCCCCTGCTTCTCATTACAAATAAAACCTTTGTGAATATAAATAAAGATCCTCAGATGTACTTGAGTGAAGGTATATTCTGGATGGAAGGGTCTTAGAAAAGCTACAGCTGCCAATAAATATGATTTGTCTTTATATTATTTTTGAAGACAGTTGACTTGCTGGCACCACTGAAAGGCACAGCTTAATCTTTTTTTTTCCAGACAAGCCTCACACCCTGTGTGTGGTGGGGTACCATTATAATGTAAGTGACTGTGCCCACCAAAAATTTGATACACACCTTCATAAAGATGGATAGAAACAGATTTCATCTGAGTTTTTATTGGTAGCAGCAAAAAGTTTCTGTTGTCCCCCATCTCATTGCCTGGATCTCTTTCTCATAGAATGGTGACATTGGGGAAGGTCCTTAGAGATTATTCAGCTCTGGTTTGCATAGAAGAAAATGGAAGTCATGCAGTATGGCAAAGCCAAGTATAGAAGTAGGGACTTTGTTTCTGCAGGCTTTGCTGGTGCATCCTATGGAGAACTTTTTGCTCTAATCCTCTCTAAAACTAAACAGTTTGTTTGTCCCAATGAGTGAATCACATGTAAAACACTGCTTTAAATTTCTTGTAGCCAACTAAGTTATAAAATGTAGCTTTTCACTCCATAACCACTTCTCTTTCTCTCAACTCATTCTTTTAAGGGAAACATCTGCTAAATTCTTTGGTCAAGATTTTACCTTCTAGGTTCAGATTTTAGAGCGTTGTAAATACTGAGAATGGGGAAGCATTATGTTGGATGACCTCCCATAAACAGATTCATGCTGAAAACTCACTCTGTGTGTGGGAACTTGTTAAAAACAGTATGTTATATAAAAAGATTACATTGCAGTATAATGCATATGTTTTAGTTCTTCTCTAAAATTGAAAACCTTTACATTGGGTGCCAGAAAAGTTATTGTAAGGACAATGCCCACACAATCTAAGCTTCTAACTCTAAAGTGAGAAATGCAACAATATGGTGTTCTCTCTTAAGTTGTGGAATGGGGCCAAAATCAAAAACAAGAGCACTTCTGCTGTTTTTATTTATTATTTTTAGTCTATTTTATGGAGGAAAAGGAAAGGTTATATTTTATGTAATGGTTACTGAATAAACATTTTACAAATGTTAATTCACTTAATTCTTTCCACAGTCCTGCAAGATCCTCAAAATTGTTCTCAAAGCCTGACTCTCAGACCAGTAGTATCAACATCACCTGGCAACTTCTTAGAAATGCATATTCTCAGACCCCGATCCATACCTATGGAATCAGAACATTGGGAAAGAGGAGCCTTATGAGTTTTAACAAGTCTCCAGGTGATTCTGATGCACACTCAGATTGGAGAGCCATCAGGTCACTCCATTATTTTGATATCACAGATAAGGCCAGGGATGCTCATGGAAGTTCAGTAAATGCCTCAGGTTACATGATTAGTGTTCGGTGGGGTTAGAATTCAAATCCAGAAGTTGCTGATTTATCTATTCATATAAATATGGGTGGCTTATTGCTTGAAATCACTAGAGTAGCCAGGAAAGGTCAAGGGAGTATCACTGAGAAAGAGATTTCAAGAACTGGAAGACTAGGCTGGGTTTAGGGAAGTCAAGACGGGGTATTCCAGGTGAAGTGGAGAGCGTCAGGCTGGGACTGAGAAGGGGTGGGGTGCTGAACATCTGCGTGCATGAATGGGAAAGGCTCCATTGATAACAGCAGGTAAAAGAGAACTTAGAGACAATGCCATAGGGAACTTGGTAGCATATAACAACCTTGTGAAGTAGGTAATATTATTAACTTCATTTTATAGAATGAGATGATTAGGGCACAGTAGCACTAAGTAACTTATCCAAGGTCACACAGAAAGTATGCAGCCTAGCCTGGCTACAAACCATGGAACCTGGTTGAAGAGAGATTATACCTGTCTTTGCACTGTATGTAATACCTCTAACTTTGCAGTTGGGAGCTTCCTACATTGTTCAGCAAGATTGTGAAACAGGAAAATGATGGGTTTTCATCTTTTGTTCATACCACAAAGCAGTTTGTATTAATACAGGACGAGAAGGGATAGGGGCTGC